CAAAAGGAGAATCAGATATTACTAATTGGAATATATCACTGTGTGATGTTCAGGCAGCTGGAAATGGAAGTTTTGTCTTTCTGACTCTGAGTAAAATTCAGAGCTTCCTACTGTTTTTTTCAAGGAGCAATGCAGAAACAGAAATCACCACTACATGCAAGTCTTCAGAAGTGAAAGAGGCAGACTGAACCCTGACTAAAAGTCACATGCCTAAAGTTGTATGGAGTTACAGTGGAGTATACAATGAAGGATACACAAACCGGATGTACTCTCTTCTTCAAATTTTGAAGCATCACTTTTTCTCATAATTCAAGAGAGTGATTCAGATAAACTGATTGTCCAGTGGAACAAGGCACACAGCATTTTAGTAAAATGGTACTCAAGGCACCCTGGATTGCAGCCTTTGCTAAATGGAACAATCCACAGGGCTAATGAATAAGCTCTGCTTGCAGTATACTCCTGGGTTTGCTGGTGATGAACTACACACATGCTTGATGTTTAACAGACATTGCCTTGAATTAAGTCTGAGACATATGGCAGCCATTACTGTAAGAAAGGAATGCATTTTTTCACTGTCAGCAACTCTGATGCTGAAACAGAACAACAGCTCCTAACAGTTGTACTCCCAGTTGTCCATGTCTCCTCCCAATGGATCTTTCTAGTCTATTGCTTTATCTGTTCTAGTCTTTCTCAAGCTTGTGAGCTGTTTTAGTTTCAAGTAAGGACATTGCTCTGCTGAAGGAGATGTTACTGCCCCATGCGGTTGTGCTCCTCACTTTTTAAATATTTTTTTTAATACAAACTCACTTGATTAACAGCGTTTGTTGCCAGGAGACACATGGAATCTCTAATAGCTTAAGACATCTTTCTCAAACTAGAATACTCCCAACAGTATCTTTTAAAAGGTCTCCAAAATTCAGAGTGGGTATCCACAGTATTTTTACCGTAACAACTTTTCCACTTCCTTTTTTTGTCATGCAAATACCTTCTAAAATGTTACTTTTTGGGAGATTGTTCATGATCTCAAGAGCAGTTTGTATTTCACTGATATTTGTCTTTGAAGGCTCAGCTTCACAAGATAAAAATTACCTAATTAACACAAAATTCTTAGCTGCCTCTTTCTGAAAATGAGGTCCTGGAAAGTGTCTCAGGTTGGACACGCAAAACAAAAAGCCTCCCAAACCATTAGTCATTTTTTAAAATCTTGGCTGTGGTCTTTTATTAGTCTGTAAAACTTTATCACCATATAGTGCACCCTTTAAATAATAAATAGTAACACCAGATGATGGAGGACTGAACAAAACCAATGCATGATGGAGAACATGTGCATAACCTTGAAGGTTTCATGGAAAGCAGGCCTTTCTGCAAGGTCTGCTTGGACACCCAAGTAACCAAGTGTTCCTGTAGAAATATTTCCAAAACTTTTGACTGCACAGGACAATATATATTACAGTCATCATACCCTTTCTTCCCAATTTTGGACACAATGCTTGTCATTTTTTTCTGCCTTGTTTGCATAAGAAGAAATGAAAATTCACATTATTGAGAAAGTCTTAGAAGATGTATTTTGCTGCTTTTTTCTCCTAGTGAAGAGCTCCTTCTTTGAATGGGATGGCAGTATGTGTTTGATAAGGATCAAATATCTGGCCTCTAAATCCACAAAGGGCAGACTGTGACCCCTTGTTGAACAGTATTTCATACAAATAGTACGTCTGCCTGCCACAAGGTAATCAGCAAGTCCCTTTGCCACTGACTTTCATCTTAATAAAATGAATATCTGTATGTGATTAGTGGGTTAAATTAGCAGGTAAATTCAGGCCTCTATGAAGAATAAGATAAATCAATCTTTTTTTGCTGTTAAATGCAAACATCTGGCAAAATGAATGTCACAACAGATATCTGCCACCAGGACTCACTCTGTTAGACCCTTCAGTGTAACATTCATGACAGACTCAGTTATTCTTTAGTGATGAACAGACTTCAGTGCCTCCATATCCTCTTTACATATTTTGTGAAGATTTAGTACAAATGCAAGCCAGTTTTATATTACACTGCCTGGCTTTTACAAGAATCATAGATGCACTTTTCATGGTGAAGCCTTCTTAAATCAAACAACTGGACACAAAACTATTTTAAGCTTCATACAGTGGTGTCTCTGCCTCTGCCCATCTGTCTTTGGTGGACTTCATCTGACAAGCATCCTTGTCACTGTCATTAATGTGTGAACTGGGCCTGGTCCGAGAGGTCAAACGAACCTTTGCGAGTCCTAGGTGTTTAAAGTGGCACTCCTGACAAAAAAAGTTAAAACAGGACACCTAATTTTTGTCTTTACAATTAGTAAATCTGCTTAAAACCAGGTATGTATGTAAATTAATTTAATCTAGTTTAAACTATTAAAATATTCTACTTAGTATGCCTGAAGGAATCAATTTTATACCTGGTTTATAAGAAATCCCAAATAATTTTGAAGAGGTGAAAGGTCTGGAGTTCTAGGAAAGCGAAATGCTTAACCACTTATTTTATTTTTAAGTACATATTTAAACCATGAAAAATTACTAGTTTTAAGGATGCACTTTTTCCTAAACAAAAAATAGGGGAGTACAAACATATAGATATGAAAGAAAAATTATGACGTATTTAACATAAGCCTTACTGAAGTCAGAGAAATCTGCCCATGTATTTAAGGTTTGCTTTCCTGGTTTTGATTACTTTTTGTCTACTCTACATCTAAATTTCTTTTGAGGCACTCTTAGTTTAAGAAGAAAAGTATTAATAATTATGAAATAAATTGTTACAGGTTTTATTGTTAAAATCAACCAGATGAAACTTGAAATAATTATGTAAAAAAGTTTTAAAACTCACTCATAAAAAGTAACAGGATATATTTTATGTTTTCAATATTTTCATTAGTTTTTTCCTTAAAATATTTATGCCATTGTTCTGGCTGTAAATGTGGATAGTTTTCCTGATATAATGTTGTTACTTTAAGTTTGGACCAAAAAAGGAAAACAAAAATCTTCCAAAATACTTAATGTGAGAAATATGTGTCTAATCTTAGGATATCAAGCTGGCTGGAAAGAGTTTAGTTCAGATCAAATATAAAACAAGAGAATTGCAGGAGGCACTGGAGATAATTATAACTTTGTAGAAATACATTTAAATATCTCTCTGAACAAAAAAGGAAAAGGTAAGGCTTAATCTTTAAAGAACTGAAAATATGTTATTAAAAAATTCTTAGCAGATTGCTTTTGCTCTCTTCTTCTCCTAATCAAGATTTTTTTTCTTTAAATGGAATGACAGCATCTGCATTTGATAAAAATCAAATAAAATATTTCCGTAGAAACAGATGGCACTGGTTTTAATTCTTTGTGGCCAGTTCAGGTATTATGAGAATGAATTATGATGTAAGTGAACTATGCATGTAAAGTGTCTTCTAACAAAAATGTTGAATAAATCTAAATTTTGGGTTACCTGTTTCATCTAGACTAGTTCCTCTCCTCTGCTAGAACATAAAAAACAAAAGCCTTCATCTCTGTGGCTGCTTGCTATTAAGGTCAGGATTTCCTTCTTTTCCTGCATAGGTGCTGAGGTGCCTGAGTTATTTTAGGGGTTAAAAGCTGTAGCCACTGATGCGTATATATGAGGCTGTATTCATAGAACACGGCTTGTAGCCTGACTCAAGCTATTACAGTCTAACAACAGGGACCAATAGAAAGAGAAGAAGATCCAAGAAAGCTGAGGTAAGCACAAACTCTGAAGCAATGTCAAATTAGAAGCAATAGCTAATAAGGTGTATATGGAAATACATCTGGGAATACTAGTATGTACTTCCAGTTTTATACGCTGCTAATTCTGAGAAGGATAGAAAGCAAACACAGTGGTTAGCAGCCAAAAGCTCTGAATTTACAGTGATTTCTAACTGGCTTCAGATAGCTCCAGGAACTTGACTAACAAGGTAATTTTTTTTTTTTTTAATAGTATTAAGGTTATGAATATTTACACAATAATAAGGTTGTGATTTCACTGTGTAAAAAAGAGATGTTATTCTTTAGAAATATTTTATTTGTTCTTTTTCTTTGGAATATTTCCAGATAGCAATGTCTGGGGCTGGATGATCTATAAGATACTGCACTTGTTACTGCTAATAACAGTGTTGAAAACTATTATATTACTACATATCTTATGCAGCAACTTAACTGAGCTCTTAACCTTACTGATGCATTAATCCTATGAGAAAATTTACTTTTTATTTAAATCCTATCTTTGAAAAAAAACTAAGCTAATTTTGACCAGAAATTTCACCTATCAGTCTCTTGACTCTGCACTGCAAAATTCTTGTTAATCTTCATTGTGCAGCAAGCAAGATAACAGAGTTTTTAAAGCACTGTTTTTGTGCTACAAAAATATTTCCTTTTGGATCAAATTATCAGTAATGATTTTGTTAATAATTTAATGGTGGAAGAGGCTAAACAAAACAAGTAGGTAAAATAGATACAAGATGCATGAGTGTACACAAAATAAGTTGGTTAGGATTTACTTTTTGTGGATATAATTTGGTTAGAACCTATTTTTTGTGTCATTTAGATAGGGCGTTTGTTTTGTCTGTTTGCTTTAGAAAAGGAAATTTATAACTTTGGATATGAGGGAGTGAATGAAGCAGGGAATGGACTAACCAAACATATTCCCTCCAAGCTTTTTAAGAATGAGCCCAACAAACAGCTGTTAAAACACTATTTGATCTTTCACTTTTCAATGAAGAAAAAAGACTCTGGAAAATCTGATCCAGATGCCATTATAATTTAAGAGACAGCAAAAGGGAAAAAGGAGTATGATTAATTTTAAAAGGAGGAACAGTCAGTACAATAGTATTTGTATCATCGTGGTAAAGATATCTTTTCTGAAGATTGTTCATTATATAATGTAGATTATAAGTCTGTACAGGAAAAGTTAAAAAAATTTATAAGAAGCACTGATTTAATGTCAGAAAAATGATCCCTGTTTTCAGGTTCTTTGAAATTACACTTGCATGGTCATCAGTTAAACTGGTAGCCAATGTGGAATCTAAGTTGAATGAGGGAAATGCTCATCAACATATAGCACTAAATTTTTTATACCTCTTATATTACTGTTCCTTTTTCCTTAACATGGCATGGGTAATACCCTAGGGGATAGAATTTGGCTGTTTATAAAGGAAGTATTAGTTAATATGCAAAACTGCTTTGTTAATCTAGTATGCTGCTATAGAATTATGTTGAGAGACAGCTAATTGTTTTTTTCCCCTTCAAAGGCAAACACAATGATCCTAAAAGTCTATACAAGCCTTTTGCTTTTGTTCTTGGCCAATTCTGTATGGACTCGAACTGTGAGACAAGTTTATGATGATCTGGATCCTGAGCATTGGTCTCACTACACTTCTGAGTGTCCACAAGAGTGCTTTTGTCCTCCTAGTTTCCCCAATGCATTGTACTGTGATAACAAAGGACTTAAAGAAATACCTGCAATTCCAGCACGAATTTGGTACCTCTATCTTCAAAACAATCTAATTGAAACACTTTCAGAGAAGCCTTTTGTGAATGCTACTCATCTGAGATGGATAAATCTGAACAAGAATAAGATCACAAACAATGGAATTGAGAGTGGTGTGCTGAGCAAGCTGAAAAGACTGCTTTACCTATTCCTTGAAGATAACGAATTGGAAGAGGTGCCTGCTCCATTACCAGTGAGCCTGGAACAGCTAAGACTAGCTAGAAACAAAATCTCCAAAATACCAGAAGGAGTCTTCAGCAACTTGGAAAACCTTACTATGTTAGATCTCCACCAGAACAGTTTGTTGGACAGCGCTCTTCAAAGTGACACCTTCCAAGGACTCAACAATCTTATGCAACTCAACATAGCAAAAAATTCACTCAAGAAAATGCCTTTAAGCATTCCAGCTAACACACTACAGCTGTTTTTGGACAACAACTCCATTGAAGTTATACCAGAAAACTACTTCAGTGCAATACCCAAAGTCACTTTTCTTAGGCTGAACTACAATAAATTATCTGATGATGGTATCCCTCCAAATGGGTTTAATGTTTCTTCTATTCTAGATCTACAGCTGTCTCACAATCAACTCACTAAAATTCCACCAATCAATGCTCACCTTGAGCACCTTCATCTTGATCACAACAAAATCAAAAGTAAGTGCATATTGTTGGTGTGGGACATAATTATTTTCAAGTGCCCACTTAACTATGGAAAATGCTCTATGAAATAAAGTGATTAATATCATAGAATCATTGAATAATTTGGGTTGGAAGGGATCTTTAAAGGTCATTTAGTCCAATCCTCCTAAAATAAGCAGGGATGTCTTCAATAGAAGAGGTTTCTCAGAGCCCTGTCAAACTGACCTTGAAAGTTTTCAGGGGTGGGGCATCTACCAACTCACTGGGCAACGTTTCAGGGTTTTACTGATTTTACAGAAGCTTTGTTCTACTAATATGTGTCTCCTCAAATGTCTTTCAACATCTTCCACTTCGCGTAAAAAGTCGAGGTTTTGTAGCCAAAGCAACAAAAGCCTGTTGTCATGCCATAGTTCCATTCCTAGCACTGCTTCTGAATTCATCCAGGTATAGTGGGGATGTGCTGGTTAGGAACATCACATATTTTATATACCAAAATTATCTGCTCAGTAAATCCTTTGTTTCATGCCAAAAGCCAAAATAAAAGTGATGACTTTCTATTTATTACTGCACAGAAGGATGTAAAACATTTATATTTATTTTCCTGTTATGGTGATTTAGCTGATTACACAGTCCCTTACTCCAGTACTAGTGCCACAGTACTCCTTAGCGCCACTGTAGTTCACAAATATACTAAAAATTATGGTTTGGCTTTTGTTTGAAACAAAGACCCATGAAAGGAGGATAGCCATTAATAATTTAGGTTAATTTGCTGCATTTTACAAAATAAATGTATGAAGTCTTGTTAATTTTTTTTTTTTTTGTACAACTGGTATATATTTAAGTGGTCTGAAAGATTTCTAACAGTTAATTAGGAGTTAGGGCTTATGACATATGTTGTTTCTGAACATATTTAATTGCCCCATAGTTATGAAGGGATTTGTTTCCATTGTTTCACTGCAGGGCCTCAGGTGCAGGTTTTATCCTGTCACTTTAGGTGGACACTAGATTCAAATCATTGGAATGTGGCCTGTCTAGTTTAAGAAGGATTTTGTATCTAGGTAGCATTTAAAGAGCTGCCTAATTATCTTCCTTTGAAGTTTGACAAAGCTTAAAACCATGAAAATCAACTTATGTAGTATGTGCAAGCTCAAGTCCTGCTTTCAAGTGAAACATGGGTACCTGCGAAGCTAAATCACAACAGCTTTCCACAAGCCTTATATTCCTCAATGCCTTTGCCACTTCTCAAAATTCATTGCTGCCTTAAACACAAAACTACTTTTAACTAAAATAATAAAAAAAGTTTTAATTTTTAGTAACTGCATATGAAGTAGTAAAAAAAATACTAAAAAAGGCAACTTGATACCTTATACAAAAATCAAGTATTATGTAAGGCACATTCTACAACATAGCATAATTGTTCAAGAGGTAGGGCTTAACGACGTAGTCTTCATGGGACACTGCTGTAATAGATGATATCTCAAAGGGCCTTTAATATTGCAAACAAGCAATGTAATTCCATCAGGCTGGAGTAACAAGATGTGTCATTACTGCATATTCATTTTGCCTTCTTAAATGGTGGAACTGATGATCAATCATTCCTTTAAGATAGCCAGTGTAAAGTTTTGAAAGAAGAATAATTGTAAAATCCTAGATCTGGTTTCTCCACAAAAGAGTCCTTATGAAGGTGTACTATTATGTGTGCAGTACTAACCCTTTTTGTAATATTAATTCTCATATATTCCTGCACAACTGCAAGTTGCTACTTCATTTTCTCTTGGTGATTCATAGTTATAAAGCTGGCATTGCCAGAACTCAGACATCAACATTTCTATGTAAATATAGTTTGCCAATGTTTTGTTGTATGTTATTGTTTAATATCAGTTCTTCATATAAGTGCAAGGCCTTATTTCTCCACAGACCATTTATGAAGATATAAGGCCTTCACTGCTGTGGTTACTACACCATGGCACTCAGGGCCACATCCAGTCTCATCTTAAAAACCTCCAGGGATCATGAATCCAATACCTCCCTAGGCAGCCCATTCCAATGCCCTCAGTAAAAAATTTCTTCAGAATATCCAGCCTAAACCTCCCCTGACAGAGCTTAAGCCCGTGCCCTCTTGTCCTACTGCTGGTTGCCTCGGAGAAGAGACTGACCCCCACCTGGCTACAACCTCCTCTCAGATACTTGTAGAGAGTGATGAGGTCACCCCTGAGCCTCCTCTTCAGGCTTAACAACCCCAGCTCCCTCAGCCTCTCCTCGAATCCCTTCACCACCACTAGTCTCAGTGGAACAAGAATTTCACCTGTAGTCCCTTCCCTAAGGATCTCAACACAGAGATAAAAGAAGTACTCAAAAGTTGGAATTAAAATCAACATAAAATCAAAACTAATCATGGCTCCAACATTTGCACCACTCTTGTTCCATGGAATTTTAAACCACACATGCTTACATATTTATCTAGGAGATACATCTTTGAGGCTCTGGGGAGATGTTAAATAGTGGAAAAGTGAGTGTTAAAAGAAGCAAAGAGAAGGCATGAAATGATGGTGTAGCAAGTGAGCAAGGGCTACTTGGTGGTATTACAGTGCTATCAAAGGACAGGTAAAAGTGAATATTAAGTTTCGCAGAAGAAAACCAGGAGGTTGGGTGCTGAGTATAATGTTATTCCATATGCAGAGAAACAGAGAAGTCTTTAGTAGCTAAATTATGAAGTCCAAGTAGCTTAATTATGTTTCTAAATTATGAGTTTTGCTGAAAAAGAAATAGGATCTTCTTCAGTTCTTCATCAGAAATACAGTGTTAGACTTTAATGAGAACCTTTCTGCAGTTTTCCCTTATAGCAGCTCCAGAGTCTCTTCTTTAAATATTATACCACATAATAATACTGTTGACAAGCAGTGGAATTAATTTTTTTTAAAATAACTATCCTAGATTTTTATCTAGTTTGGGCTAGTCATACCGACCAGCTGCTCAGTTAATGCAGAGATAAAGGATTGCAGGGGGAAAATGGTCCCATTTTAAGGAGCTGTAAATCACCTTTTGGAAACATTCATCTCTCAGTTTAAAAACAGAGTCCAGATGGTTTAGGTACACTGACAATCTCTACATGCATCAGTTTAGGTAGAGTGAATTGTACTTATGTAGATGCATAGGCCTGTCTCTCCTCCTTAAACAAAATTCAGTAATATACACATGAAGAGGATAGGAACAGGAAGAGGCTCTTACTCCTCTAATAGTTTGGGTAGGATTTATTGTTAGTGGGATGAGAAAAATAAAACCCCCAAACCACTTCACATCACATGTCATCAAGAAATAACTTCTTCATAGGTGGCCTGTGGTTAGATAACTTTTGTCTCACTTAAAGGCTAGAGTAATTAACCCAGTTAAAATAAGTGCAGTGAGATGATAGTTTCTAGGTCAGAGAAGACCAAGATTTAGAACACACTTGAAGCCTTCTTGTCTTCTACAGACAGTAGTGCTGACCAGAAAAGGTGGATATTTTCTGCTACATAATGTTGATCCCTGTAAAACTTGTAATAGCTGCTTTCGTAATGAAAACTCTCAAGCTTCCTGCTTCACAAATAAAAATAAGCTGTAGCTTGTTTCTTCCAAGAATATCAAAAGTTTTGCCAATATTAATCAAATTTCACAAGATAGACAAAGACGTTTTGATATCACAGATATGACTAAAGTTTCAGGCTCGGGCCAACTGGATGTATTTAACTAGTTTCCATGACAAAGTCCACTTCCAAGATGTTGCAAAAACCTGGGAAGTTGCTCAAAGTAGAGTGAAGGGTTTTCTTTTGGGGAAAAAAAAAGTAATTTACATTGTGATATTTTACATCATAACATTTATCTTGGGATACTGTAATCGGAAGATGTGTGCATATTATCATTGTTAAATATAAAGGGAGAAAAATTTTGGTAGAAATCTGAGTTGCTAAAAAAATATTTTTCAAAAGATCTGTTACACACACGTTCTCCGTTCATTTTTTTTCATTTGTTTGGGAGCCAGCAAGATCCTCAGGCCATAAGACCAATCACTAAATACTATAATTTGATCAAAGGAATTTGACATCTTATCAAACACCACTTCAGTACTTTCTAGAATGAACTCATTTTGAGCTGAAATAGGGCAGCAGCTGCCTGACTATTCAACAACTGAAGACAAAATAAGAAAGGCATCTTAGCCAAGTGCAGATGTAACCTAGAGGAGACAATGTAGAGCCCAAGCCATTCAACACTTATGAATATAGATAATGATTTAAGCCACAGTTTCAAATTTTATCTGAACAGAAACAAACTATGTGTGATGTATAAAGAATGTTAAGGATTTGTTGGATTTCAGATTAAAAAGAAAAATAACCCATTGTAAAATTATATTCTTGCAACTGAAACCAACTCTACTGAAGAATGTGAGAGAACAGGAAAATACAGATGATAAAAGTTAAAAACACTAAATGAAAATTTCCTCTGATTCAATGCTGCTATCATTTTGAATGAAGGATCTTCATTAGGGAATATTATCAACCTAAAATTAATGTACTGTCATTGAAATAAGATGTTCAAAACCTCCCAACATTAATCTCTTCTGGTTCTCTCAGAGGCTAGAGAGCTATTTCTCAATGCTTACCATGTAGTGGCCTAAATTGTCCAAGGTAAAATTATGCATCTGTCCAAGGTAAAATTATGCATCTAGTGGCCTTTATTCATAATTGTAGCACAGTAAATATGTGATTCACTGATCAAGATTACATTATAATAAGATCTTTGTTGATTCATCAAAAAAGTAGTTAATTGTTGGCATTTTACAAATTTGATAGAAACAACTGTCTCCCATACAAATATCAGTGGAAGTCTGCTTTATTTGTTTCCTAAATGGATTTTGTTTTCATGAACCTTCCCCATAGAAATTACCTAAAATGTTGATTTATATTTTCAGGTGTCAATGGTACTCAAATGTGCCCAGTCTCAATTGCCCTAGAAGAAGACTATGGTTATTACGGTAGCATCCCTCGCCTCCGATACCTTCGTCTGGATGGAAACGAAATTCAGCCTCCAATCCCATTGGACATCATGATATGTTTCCGACTACTTCAAGCTGTTGTCATATAAAGATATTGCAGTGTCACTCTTGTACTGTAAGAGTGCTAAAATACAAGTTTTGCTGGAATGAAACTTGGTCTAACGCAGAAATCAAGAAATAACAGCTTTATTTGACTTGAATTTTTTTCTTTGCTTTTATCTTTTCTACGGCTGACAAAGATGTTCTTCTTTCAGAAGAGATTTTGTACGGACCTGAAACATGTGTTTAACACTTTACCCTAGAATTTCTAGTGGGAATATATTGAAAATCATCTGCGTAAGATCCCAAATATTCCAAAGAACCTATTACATGGTTCTTGTCAAATGCAAGGTCTGCCATGTTAACATCATTGCTATAAACAAATTATATTTCCTTATTTTGTTATGTAGTAACTAACACAGTGAATTTGGGTGCACTTGGCCAAATACATATACTAGTAAAATCACAAGCTGCATGACTACTAGTAATCAGAACTGTCAGTGTCATTTAAGATAGTGACTAGTGGTTAACAACCATTAACATGCACTTAACTCATAAATTTTTGTCATCATTTGAAGACTGACACTTTTAAGGTAAAAAATAAGAGTCTCAGCATCCAAAGCAATATACTGAATATATATTGTCATAGGGATTCATTCAGTGAATGATTTCAGAATTGGAATCGACTGATCCAACTTAAATCCAGGGACAAGAGAAAATAGGATGAAATCCCGTTCTATCAAAGTACCAATTTTCTGCAATTTCATTCTTCAGTATTTCATTTCTAGTTTTGACACCATTTCTTTCTGTAATTTTGGGATAGTCATTGAATATTTGGTTCATTTCAGTTTCCACAGAGATATAACCAACAGTAATGACTACATATTTCACAGACTAGGTACTTCACAAAAAATTTAGTGGCTAGTTAGTGCTACAGTGATCAAGAGAAAACAAATAAATTAAGATATACATATCTTCTCAGTTGTTTACTAAACTAGCCAAATATTTGCATAGCAATTGTATCAGTTTAAGCAAATAAAATCAACTTAGAGCAGTATTTAGCTATCTATTAACTAAATTTGTTAACTGATATACATGCACATAGTAAAACTGGATTTTAGAGAAGTCCAGGTATTTAGAACACAGTACATTAACAATTCATTAACAAGTGAGATATCATCAGCAACTTTTTATGAAATCTGATTTATGTTTTTTCTATTTTATAAAAATGGGATTTCAATAAATGAATAGTAGAATCAGCTATTCAATGTGAGACTATGACATCCTTATTTCTGACAACCAGCACAACAAACTATCCATCAGTCCTATTATTTTAGTCTTCTTGCATCCATAGATAGAAGTAATTAGTTGATCTTTGATATCTTGAATCTATTACTAGCATTTTAAGACTAATCTCAATAGCAAGCATTTAAAGCTATGCATGTGATATAATTTTTCCTTTGAAGATAAGGTATTTTCTTAAAAATAGGTTTTGAAAGTTGTTGAGAACTGCAGTTCTAACAGTCAATCTTTTTTATGTGAAAATCAGGCCTTATTCTGCTTCAGAGTACTTGTGGAAATAGCCTAGTATAGAAATCCAGCATACAAATAACCATTTCAGAAATCCTATCACAAAAAGAAATTATTTTTGCTGTTCTTTCGATGTGATTGCTGAGAAACTCCTGCCCTTCTAGTAGAATATTTTCTGTACATCTGTGTTCACCCAATATGAAAAAATACAGATTTAAAAAGTCTCTACAATATGTATGCATGTTTAGCTATATTCTTTACTCAATAATAGCATATTAATTTATTTTTTGGAAAAAAAGGTGACAATACTACTAATTAAATTATAACAATTATGTTCTTGTACTTGGAAATCAATCTCCACTTTAAACAAAAAACAAATACATGTACTCCAAAGTAAATATTATCAAGCATATATGCATATTATTAACATTATTTATGTTTTTGATCATACAGCAAAGCATCTTGAAGTTCCTGTAAAAAATTATGACTCTTTTAGGTCCCCTAAAGGTTCATATTAAAGGAGAAAAGACTAACCCTTCCCCAAAGAGATGTCTAACTTACATATGGGAAGGATTGATATGTAAAATCATAAAGGGACACTAGATCATCAATGTACTCAATTTTCTGGATAGACGTATTATGCAATGAAATCAGGAGCACATGAAATAATTTTTAACAGTTATTTTCACCTGTTGGCCTGCTATTTTTCCAATACAGTGTAGTTCTTCAAAGGTCAGTGCTATCTAATGGAACAGACATGCAGAGAGATGCTCAAGATTTATCTCTGTCAAATGCCACATAATCTGAGGGAAGAGAAACATTTATGATATATCCTTGGACAAGCTTCTATTGCGCTGAAGAGCTGCTGCTGCTAAGTGCTTGCTCTACACATTTGATTCAACCCATTGACTCCACATCTGGGAACTGTGTAATAAAGAGAAAATCCTAAGTATCCTCACTTAGGCTAATTTGTCCCATCCTGACTTTCTCTACCAGAAACAGCACTATGAATTAGAATACTAAATAGTTATGTTTTGGTAGTGACCTTCACAAAGTAAATCAACTCTGATTGAGGGTTGAGCTGCTTTACTGAATACGCATGTCCATTTGCAAGTCTTAATATTCTTAAACATCCTGCTAAAGTTGGTGAAATTTCCCTACAGACTACAATAGCAGGCCTGAATTTCATTCTTTTATGGAACTAAACAGCGTCGGTTCTCAGTCATTACACATTCTTTTCATTCACTGTGCCAGAAGACTATAAAGGAATATGTAAAACACAGTGTCTTTCTCCCCAATGTAGAGGGTCATTAATACAATGTAAAAAGCCTCACTGCGCTTGCAAGTCTGATGTTAATTCTTCCTAATCCTAGATTGCTCTAAAACTCCCCACTGGTATTTCTTGGTTTAGAAAAAAATGTGGTCTCTTCCACTGAAAGGAGTGACGAACACACCTCTCAGCTGTCCTGTCTGAACCCCCAGTTCTCATCATGAAACAGCCATTTGTTTTGCTTATTTGTCAAAACACATTGCAAACAGTTTTGAATAGAATACCATGTACAGAAACAAAGACATTTACAAATATGAGTAACTGAGAACAAAATAGGTCACCACAAACGCCATGCAGTCTTGGTCAATCACTAACCAAACCGCAAACACCTAGTGTTTTTTGCACAAATCCATATTATGAGTTAAAATCCATATGAGTTAACTTTGAAATTTTTTGTTAATACAGATGTGCTATCACCTCAGTCCAGAGTGCACACAGTTGCTCTGCAAAGAAAAACATTAAAGCTAAGTGAGAGACTCAAGAACTGAAAAATACCCAAACATTTCTGACATGCCTTCTGTGACTGGAGGCTGGAGGCTGGATTTTCAAAAGGTTGTGGGGTTTTATAAACACATTTGGCTCTGCAGGAAGAAAAGTGCTTAATAGATGCTGCTAGCATAGTTAAAAATTCAGTCATATGCATGAATTTCCCTCTTCCATAATCTTCTCTAGCATTTTCTCTTTCTTTCCCAATATCCAGTTTGTTACCACTTTCTTCTTCAATATTTTTAAAGAAAAACACCACCATAACAATCATCTGTAGATGCCAGTGACCACAACAAGCTGTATGACACTTGGAAGAAGAAACACAAACACTGAGAGGTAAAAATTTGGAAGACAAGCAAAAAGCCAATTCACATGTTTGCAGTTTTAACTCCAACACATATCCTGTGTCACTGAAGGGATTTTCAGTCACCCTTGTTGCACCCAAATGGTTTCCAATGTTTGCCAAAAGTATTTGTTGTCATTTTTCCAGCCTGGGAAAGTTATTTGCTAATATCATATTGCATCTAGTTTTATTACCTACCTGGAATCAGATTACTGTAACATCTACATTTCTGTGTTGATTGTTAAACAGCTAATATCACTATTCTGCCATGTCAGTCTTTGACATTGTTGAAGTTAGTGAATTAACATCCTTCTTTTGGTTGAAACCTCCTCAGTAATTACATTTTTTTTTTTTTTACACGGAATTGTTTACCCATTTCAACATGAAGGGAAGCTCTACAGGGCACCCCACTGTCCGTATAGTGGTGCTCAGGAACAGTAGCAAACATTTCCAGTCAAGTGTATGAAGAAATACCCATCACTGGCATCACGTTCTGCCCTAGCTAATTTATTATCTTCTGACTCCTGTGCTTGCACTATCAGTGTTAGTTCCAACAATCTTATACTGTAATGAATTTGAAACCTTTCCCTGCACTGTTGCCTGAATGTTCTTCTTCCTGTTTTTGTCTTGGTTTCTGTTGCATTAGAAGCAGTCCAGAGGAGGGCCACTAAGTTGATCAGAAAGTTGGAATGCCTCTCCTACGAAGTCAGGTTAAGAGAGTTGGGTAATTAAGCCTGGAGAAGAGAAGACTTCAGAGAAGTTGTGGATGTTTCATCCCTATAATTGCTCAAGGCCAGGTTGGGTGGGGCTCTGAGCAACCTGGACTAGTAGAAGGTTCACTGTCTATGGTAGGACAACTGAAACTAGATCTTGAAGGTCCCTTCCAATCTAAACCACTCTGTTATTCTATATCCATTTGATCAACCTGTCTGCCTATCAGTTTGATTTAGTTTTGCTTCTTCGGTGTTTATTAGCTAATGCATGTTAAAGCACATAGTGTTAATGCCTGCTTTGATGTCAACCCTTTTCTGGTAGTTCACCTACATATGGGTTTCTCTGGGGGACATTCTGACTGCCAAACTTACTGCAGCAAACAGCATGCCCACCTCCTCCTATGTATGTGCTCACACCAAGGCTGATGCTGTCAGGTAAATAGAGTATAAGTGGATATCTCTTTTCCAAGGCTTCTCTCCCCACTCTCAGTCTTTTTTGTAGGGAAGTTGGCAAAGAATCTGGAATCACATCTTTGACAAAAAAAGCTGTTCCTAATTAGGATCTGGGGCAATGAAAGTGACATGTGGAATCAGCAACACTCAGTAAAGCTAGACTTTTTCAATACATCATTTATTCATTAAAATAGTCTATCACCAT